TAAACATTTTCTCTACAGCTTTCTTAAGACAATGAAGACCTGTCTTAGAGTGTCTGCTGATTTCCATTGTGTAAATATTCCCACTATGGCTGATTTTAAGCTACCAGTATGAAGTCACTGAACATGGAACTGAGAAGAGATGTGTACAACTATATAGTTTTTCTGCCATACAAATACAACAGACATAAATAACCTCAGGAGCATAGATAATACTAAAATGCCGTAATATTAGTAGGAAATGATGAGTTTTCAGCATGTATTACTCTTATTTTCAATATAATGTATTTAATTATAGGTTTATATAATTTAATTTTTAATAATTACAGTGTTTACTGACTCACAGAATTCATGAAAACTTAATTAGACCTTGAAGGCTACTAGAAGCCAGCTCCAGCACACAACCAATTTTTCCCCCTCCTTCTGTCTAATGGTCCAATCCTTCAAGGTTCATCTCCTACCTCACCTCTTCCAGGAAGCCTTCCTTAAAGCCTCCAGCCTTTAGAGAGTTCTCCCTCCTGAATTCTTGTAACTCACAGATTTTGCACTAATCACTTGGTAGTTGGCATTGGCAACTTTGTCTATGCTCAGAATCTAGGGGTGAAGATATATAAGGAGAGAGAGCCAGTCTTTTCCATCTTTGTATCCCTCCTGAGCCTGGACCAATGTATCATGACCTCGGCAAAAACTCGACAAATGTCTGCGGTGACTTAACATGTGAACAATAGGTATAGAGAGATGCTAAAAGTTTGGGGGCAGAACTCTGGCTCTGCACCTTACTAGCTGGGTGGCCTTTCTTAAGGTGTCTTAGCATCAACTTCCTCATCTGTCAACTTGGAATAATAATATCTTCCTTGTAGAGCTATGGTAAAGATTTATGGAGAAATAGGACTATGTACATGGTTATTCATCAAAACACTGAAATAGCAAAAGATTGAGGTAACCTAAATATCCATCGATATGAAGCTGATTAAATAAATTAAAGTACAACTATACAGTAAAATACTACACAAATGGGAAAAAATAATGAATGGTTCTTTATGTACTAATATGGAACAATCTACAGAAATATTCTTAAATGAGACAGCAAAGTGCAGAACAGTCTGTGTAGTATGACACCACTTTGGAAAAAAGTAGAAAACATACACACATGCATTTGCCTACATATGCATAACAGTGATGTAGGAAAACGGTGACAGTGGTTCCCTCTAAGAGGGAATAGTGGGTGGCACAGGAAAGAACTGAAAGGGAGAATTATCACTCTTTTGAACCTTTTAAGTTTTGAATCATGTGAATGTACTACCTATTCCAAAATAAACAAACAAACAAAAATGAATGATGCTAGTAGAATCCCTGGCACAGGAGCAAAAGGCCTCCAAAAAAATGGTGGTGATGATGCTGGTGGTGATAGTGATGGTGGTGATGATGGTGATGGAGAAGGATAGGGAAGGGGAGGGGAGGGCAACAGAGAGAGCTACTGCTTAGGATTTGAGCAGAGTCAACAATTGACAGAAAGGTCCAAACCAAAGGTAGGACTGAAGGGCTAGGAGACAAATTAAGCAGTAAGTTGAAGTGAGGCACTCTCGGGGTGTTCTTGGGAATAGGAATAGCTTAGTGAGCCACAAGGGTCAGGGGCATGGAGCCAGAGAGAGGCTCCTGGAAAAAGAGAAACGAGAGAATCACAGCTGGTGGATTACACAGGTGATTTTAAGGAGTAGTAGAGGGGAGCAGCTGGAGGGGAGGGCCTTGAGAAGAGGGCAAAGGGACCCAAAGTGGTATGTGATAGACTGCCTACAGGCTAGGTGATTGGAGAGCATGTGAAATCTTTGAAGTCAGACAAACCTGGGCTGAACCCTGCTTCTGTCCCTCAGCAACTGTGTGACCTTGGACGAGCCACTTAACCTTCCTATGCCTCGGTTTCCTTCTCTGTAAAATGAGAATAATGACAATACTAACCTCCTTTGCACTGCTGTGAGACTGAAATGAAATAAAGCAAGTGAAGTGCACAGCCTACTACACAGTAAATGCTTGATAAATATNCAGCAGGGCCCCGGTTCGGATCCCACATGAGGGCCAGTGACACTGCCCTCTACAGCTAAGATGGTGAACAACAGCTCGACCTGGAGCTGGGCTGCGGTGCGTCGCCGGCAATGGCGTAGGCTGCAGTGGGGCTGGCAGGCAGCAGGCGTGAGCTTTCGTGAGCTGCTGTAGCCACCATGAGTGGCTGTCCAATGGCTGGCGAGCGACTGCCTCAGCCAGGAAGAGTGCAATGATAATACCAACATGGGCCAGTGAAGCAACGTCCTCCACCACTAGACTGAAGAACAAAAGGACAAAAATCCCTTCCTCGTTTCCCCAACTCTGTTCCCCTCCCCTAAATCCCCAATAAAATCTTTAAAAAAAAAATAGAATGTTGGCAGACATTTTATTGAAAACAATGCAAACCAGGAGGCAGACTTTAATATATCTTTAAAGTACTGAACAAAAAATCTGTTAATCTAGAATTCTATACCCAGTGAAAATTTCTTTTAAAGGTAAAAACAAAATCATTTTCAGCCATAGAAAAGCCAAAATAATTCATCATCAGATGTTCTGAACTATAAGAAATGTTAAAGGAAACACTTCAGGCAGAAGGAATGGTACTGTGGAAATCTGGATCTATACAAAGGAATGAAGAACATCAGAAATGGTAACTACATAGGTAAATATAAAAGCCTTTTGTTCTTATTACTTAAGTATATTTAAGGGATAATTGTTCAAAGCAAAAATAATAACCATGTACTGTAAGGTTTTTTAACATATGTGAAGTAGAATATATCACAATAGCGCAAAATCTGGGAAGAGAGAAATGGAAGTATACTGTTGTAAAGTTCTGACTGTACAAAGTGGTATAATAGCACTTGAAGGTAGACTGATAAAAATATATACAATATGTTATAAAGCAACCACTAAAATAATACAACAAAGAACTACAGCTAAGGAGCCAAAAGGAAAACAAAATGGAATCATACAGAATAATCTAAAAGAAGGCAGGAAAAAAAAAAAAGGAAAAAGGGGAATAAAGAACAAATGGAGAACAGATAGGATAAATAGAAAATAGTAGGATGGTAAATTTAAACCCAATCACAATCAATAATAACATTAAACTGTAAATGGTTCAGAAAGCTCAATAAAAGGCAGTGATTGTGAGATTGAATTTAAAAAAAAAAAAAAAAAAAAAAGCAAGACCCAACTATATGATGCCTTTAAGAAACCCACTGGTCCAGCCAAGTGGCGCGTTGGTTAAGAGTTGGCTTGGGACGCCATCTCTGAGCAGCAGGGCCCCGGTTCAGATCCCACATGAGGGCCAGTGACGCTGTGCCCTCTATAGCTAAATTGGTGAACAACAGCTCGGCCTGGAGCTGGACTGCCATGAGTCGCCGGCAACGGCGTAGGCTGCAGCCTCTGCTGCAGTGGGCTGCCTTAAGCTACCGTGAGTGGCCAGCATCCAGAGTGAGCTGCCATGAGCCTCCGTGAGCGGCTGTCCAATGGCCGGCGATCGATCTGCCTCACCTGGGAAGAGCGCAATGATCACAATACCAACATGGGCCAGTGAAGCAACGTCCTCCACAGTTAGACTAAAGAACAAAAGAACAGCAGTTTGTCTGTTCCCCTTCCCCGATTCCCCAATAAAATCTTTTTTAAAAAAATGGATTAAGACAGGCCGGCCGAGTGGCTCAGTTGGTTAAGAGTTGGCTTAAGAGCGCGGGCTCTGAGCAATAGGGCCACCGGTTCGATTTTCACATGGGCCAGTGATGCTGCGCCCGAGCTGAGCTGTCGCTGAGCTGCCAACAGGTGGCAAGATGGCTCAGCTAGTGTAACAACAAGATTGCCTGTTCGATAGTGGGCTACATCCACCCGCAACTAAGACTGAACTCAGCACCTTGAGCTGAGCTGCTGCTCGGATGGCTCAGTGGATACAGTGTGCACTCTTAACAAGGCTGCTGGTTCGACTCCTGAGTGGGATGGTGGCTATGTCCACCCACAACTAAGATTGAACACAGCCCCTTGAGCTTAAAGGCCATGAGCTGCCAATGGGAAGCCAGATGGCAACTGGCGCCCTCCACAACAAAGATTAAAGAACAACCACTTGGCTGGTCCCCTTCCCCAATTCCCAACACTGTTCCCCTCCCCCAGTTCCCCAATAAAATCTTCAAAAACAAAAAAATGAATTAAGACACTAAATTTTATGTTATGTGTATTTTACCACAATAAAAAAAAACGAGCGAAAAAAATTCATGGGATGCAGCTTTTTCTTTGATGGATTAGCAGTAGAAAAGAGAGAAAAAATAATTGATATGAGAAGAGAACTGACATTTACTGAGCACCTACCAGGTGCCGTGCATACATGATCTCACTTAGCCTGCCTTACTAACCTGTGCGATAATGACAATGAACATCCACTATATACTAATGCATCCAAGTAGTGTTCTGAGAGCTTTATATATTTATCTGCTTAATTTCATAACAAGTCTTTGAGGTAGAGATCATAATTAACATTTTACAGACTCTGAATGTACGGATGCACAGAGACACAGAGTGACTTGTCTAGAATCAACCAGCTGATAAGAAACGGACCCTGGATTCAAACACAAACATTTTGGTTCCTGGGCCTTATGCTCAACACTACCGTGACAGATGCGAAGTCACTCAGCTAATCAGTGGGATTCAAACCTGGTTCTGTCTAGTTTCAAGGTCTCTTTTTCCTACCTTCTCCCCAGGAGAACCTGAAGCAAAGGGGAAAGGCTGAAAAGGAGGAGTGAGAGAGGTGGGCCAGAGCCCAGCCTGGCAGGGCCATGAGGACCAGGATTCCACAGCTGGTAGAAGAAGAGATCAAACTCGACAACCTGTCAGGCCTTTCTAGCTCTAGATTTCTAAGCCTCTATGGGCTGGAAATTGGAAACAGGATGGGACCAGACACCCTCTGCTGTGCTGCCAGCTGCCAGATGTGGGCAGCCACTTACCTTTGAGGTGAGTCTCCATTGGTCTGTCATCTATCAGCTGCAGATGCTGCCAGATCCACTTATAGTAGGAAGGCGAGGCTGCGAGGTCTATCAACCGCAGGACTTCACATCTGCCCTGGACACATCAAGGGACACAAACAAAAGGCTTAGCCCCTAGGCTCTAGGCAGGCTAGGCTTTGAAGATAAGCTTTCTGTACCCCATTTTGTTTTACTTGCTTAATGAAAGTGGTTTCTGGTCCCCCCGTTTTTCAAATGAAAATGTTATCTACTTATAAAGAATTCAAATAGCTAAAGAGGCATGAGAACTAAATACAATGCTGGTACTGGAAAAAATAATCACCATTAGTAGGACAGTTGGTGAAATTTATTTCATACTGTAAATTATATATTATATCAATGTTAAATTCCTGGATATATATATATATATATATATATATTAACAAAATGTTAACAATTAGTGAATCCAGGTTAAGATTCTACAGTTCTTTGTACC